AGGGGGGGGGGGGGACAAAGAGCAGAAGGAGGATATATAGAGTAGGAGCATTGCTGAATTTTGCTTACTCACACTCTGTTTGTCATGTCTTTAAAGTTTGAACGCGTGAGCCTCGTACGGCTTTTTCAACGTCGACTAGTTTTTGTAGCCTTTGAAGCTATTTATAAATTCAATAAAACAAGATAATTATTGTGCTTGCTTATATCCATTGGCTGTCAGATTCAATTATGAATTCCATAAAACCTGTCAATGTCCAAATTGTGCTAAACAGGGGAGTTAATTGATCATAAATTTGCCTATCAAAAAGGCATGCATAGGATAGGAGTGTTGAATAAGTATACTTCATAATTACAGAGCTTGCATGTGATTAATAATAAGTCCTCTGCGCATCTAAAGAGAAAAGCCTAATCATGAGTTAAGAAGATTGCTTCAGAAGGACTAGGCCATGGTGTCCTTATATGAGACCCAATATCTGCTTCACCAGGGCCGAGATGACAGAGAGACTGCAACGAGGGGCTTACAATGAGAGGGTGAGTTGGGCGGCCGAATTGAACCGCTCAACAATAGGCCCCTCATTAGACCAAACATCATGTGACAGGGTTGGAGAAAATGTAGCCCTCCTGCCCAGCTCTGGCTCTCGACTCACAAGCCCAGATGAAGGCCATGAGCAACAAATTAGCTCAATTATGGTGACATCACCATGAATGAATGGGTTAGCAGAAGATTAAATATATACTTTTATCATAAATTATAGACAACTATTTACGCATAATTTACATTATGTACCTCAGAAATTATAATACAAACCCAACATTGTGTTACATACAAATGGAACTGAAAGCCTATAAATTTAAGGACAAAACCCAAAAGAAAATAAACCCATCTTGGAGAAGAGAAACATTCACCCTATATATATTAGCTTCAAGATATTGGAATGTTGATCAATGTGGTCCTCACATTCCCAACCATGCAAGCTAAAAACTGCAAAATAGGCCTGAAACAAGCTTCTATTGGGCTCCTAACATAAGCGTACCAGCGTGAACCTGATGTCACATTGCCCCTAAGCCTCCCCCAGAAGCTCACAATGAAGTTTTGGTTTCGACTGCTGGCCAGTATTGCAGCTGACTGCACATATGCTGAGGCTGCACGCTTCACCAGCTGGTTTCGAATCGTGATGTTCGAAGGGTCGAATTCAAAGTCACTCTCCTCCGGGATTGTGGTGCTGTGTTGTGGCGAGTTCAATATGATATCCTTCAAGCTTGTGTATCGATGTTCATCTTCGATTTCGGGGTCAGGCCTGCAGTTTGATGATGAATTTCTGCGCAGTATTAATGCAGGTAGGTTTTTTATGAGTTGGAGTTCTGTATCCATTATAATTACAAGGCATGAGAGTTTGATGATGGTGTTTTGTGTGTAACAAATGTGAGCATTTTGGATAAAAGCCCAATGAAAGTACTTAAAATCATGTGACTAGAAGGAGGTTTTTAGGTTAATTGGTTTTGGTTGCTAGCTGTTGTGATGGAGGGAAAATGCAACAGTTCGTATTTTTGTTCATTGGTTATAATCTGAGAGAGAAGAGAGAGGAAGTTTTTGGATTGGTAGATTTTAGGAGCTCCATTTTATACGGCTTTCCCTTGATATATAAAGATTGGTTTTATTTAACTTGCAGACGGTTTGTAATCGATGGTGCTAAATTTATGTTTCTTGCAAGTTTGTCATCTTTGTGAAAGAACACACACTCTCTCTCTCTCTCTCTATATATATATATAAGATTTGGACAGATAATATCCTCAACTTGTTGTAATTTGGGATGCATGGGATAGATTTAGAGCACACATTTCATTATTGGAGACTTGGACAAATTTCTAACATGAATTTAATTCGACACTCCACATATGATGAATAAAAATTATATTTTGCTTGGAATTTGGGAGTGTTTTCGGAAGGGTTAAAGGCGTTTTTTGATGCATTTAGTAGAAAAATTTTAAAGTGTTTATGCGTCATAAAAACACTTTATGGAGAAGTATATGCTAATTTCTTATGAATATTTAAAGGTTTTTATAATAAAGCACTTTTGCTAGAATTGCATATGAGCATAAGTGCATCCTAGAAAAGCAATCCCGAACATAATAACAACTTAGTGCATAACAACATTCATATACTTGGACAAGCATATTGGAGTTGTACTTGAGAAGTATATGCTATGTGCTTCCTGGAAAAGCACTTGAATTTCTTATGAATATTTAAAGGTTTTTATAATAAAGCACTTTTGCTAGAATTTCATATGAGCAGAAGTGCATCTTAGAAAAGCAATCCCGAACATAATAACAACTTAGTGCATAACAACATTCATATACTTGGACAAGCATATTGGAGTTGTACTTATTAATTTGGGCTTGAATTTCACCTTTGGATTCTCAATCAACAAATGCCTACGGCCTTGTCTTCACAGTTCTCTTCACTTGGGTTTTTGGGCCACTTTCCGTTGATCAATAGGATAAGGGTTACAATGAGGGAGTTCAATCCAACAGTCTAATAATAACTATGCACTAAATCAGACGACTATTAAAAATCCCCTCGTCACTATAACCCATCCTTCTAAGTTCTAACCTCCATGATAAGGTAAGTAAGGTAAGTAGTACAATTTACAATTCGATCTAATTCAATCTAATCGTGTGGAACAAAATGAGGCCAAATTAGGATAAATGAAATAGTCTAATAATAACTATGCACTAAATCAGACGACTATTAAAAATCCCCTCATCACTATAACCCATCCTTCTAAGTTCTAACCTCCATGATAAGGTAAGTAGTACAATTTACAATTCGATCTAATTCAATCTAATCGTGTGGAACAAAATGAGGCCAAATTAGGATAAATGAATTTAAAATAATAAAAAATGGGACAAGTGGAAAAGACTATTTTTGTGCTTGTTTACAGCTATCTTATCCTCAAAGTATTTCATATTAGAATTCATGATAATCGTTCATATTAAACAATTGACAGTATGATTAGTTAATCAATCACATGAGTTCATGCATGAAAAAGAGATTAAGAAACAAACAAACAACAGCTTTGCCAAGCTGAAAATACCAAATGGGGAACAGGTTGTGACACGAAAGCTAACAATTTTTAATTTCGTAGCCATGACTGTGTTAGGATGTTCAAATTTTGAACATAATCTAAACAAAAAGCATGCTCACTCTTTTGCCAAGCAGTAGCAGAGATATTTAAGTAAAAAGAGACTCGAGTGGAGTGAGGAAAAGCTAGCTGGAAGTCTCAATCTGTGTGTTGCTATAAAAATTCCTACTCATCGTATTGCAGAGAGTCCTCTTGTTTTGGTGTTGGTGTGACGTACACGTATACTGATCAAATATTCGATATGCATCAAAACATTATGCGTCGTAGTCAATCTTGTAGAATTTTCTTATGAGGATGAGTAGCACTGAACTTTCAACTCTTAAATTTTCGTAAAAATAGAGTGCACGATAATATTTTTGAAGTGTCAATAACAGCTCCATGAAACACACAACCAAGTGATATAAAATGTATATGTTTCGTATGCTAATTGGGCACCTATTGATTAGTCTGATCTCATGCTAAAGAAACCCTTTCAAAACAGGCAAAGTGGCAATAGTTTGTTGCATTGCATGCATGTCAGTCGGTTCAGAGGAGTTGAGAGCCTATCCATTTTGGCGTTCCACTTGTCAATGACTTGATGTTGCATGCACTTTGATAACTTGGCAAGTTTTTTTTAATATATTTTTTGCATCTTTTTAAGGGGGACAACCCTTTAGGACAACACGAATTTAATGAATTTTATGAGTGTACAGTACCTAATACTCACCAAAAATATGAGACTCTATTAGCACTTACAATCAATCTCTCAGAAAAAAATATATTTAAAAAAATGTATGGGATCAATGTTAGAAGGTATATTGGTGTATAAAGAAAATTCCTTTTTTTTTTCTTGATGTGTTTGACATTGTATGAATTTTGTTGAGTTAAAATGGGTTTTTTTTGTTTTTTCTCCTTTCATGAACAGATTTCAAATTCAAATTCTCCCTTATTTATAATTAATTGGGTAATTTTATCCATCCATCTCTCTCTCTCTCTCTGTCCAACAGAAAAACAAACATAAATTCACTGCCTTTCGCTGCCTCACTCCCTCCTCAGTTTTCTCTCCTAGCTTCCATCTTCTTGGAAAACCCAAACTTAGTTTTTTCTTTCACTTTCTCTCAAACCAATCAGCCAGCCCTTCTATGGCTACCTAGTACACCTCTCTCTCATAGAAAAGGAGAGAAAGGTTAAGTCTTTGGCTCTGTGTTTTCTTTTTCTTGTAAAGAAATGGAAGGAGTACATGTAGAGTCAGATGCATCAGCCTTCAGAGACTGTTTCTCTTTGGCTTGGAAAAACCCGTATGTACTTCGTCTAGCTTTCTCTGCTGGAATTGGTGGCCTTCTCTTTGGCTATGACACAGGTCAAAACTCAAATACTCAAATGCTCAAATGCTCTGCTCTGCTCTCTCTCTCTCTCTCTCTCTCTCTCTCTCTCTCTCTCTCTCTCTCTCTCTCTCTCTCTCTCTCTCTCTCTCTCTCTCTCTCTTTATAATTAATTGGGTAATTTTATCCATCCACCTCTCTCTCTCTCTCTCTCTCTCTCCAACAGAGAGACAAAAACATAAAATCTGACTGCCTTTCTCTGCTCTCAGTTTTCTCTACTAGCTTCCGTCTTCTTGGAAAACCCAAACTTAGTTTTTTCTTTCACTTTCTCTCAAACCAATCAGCCAGCCCTTCTATGGCTACCTAGTACACCTCTCTCTCATAGAAAAGGAGAGAAAGGTTAAGTCTTTGGCTCTGTGTTTTCTTTTTCTTGTAAAGAAATGGAAGGAGTACATGTAGAGTCAGATGCATCAGCCTTCAGAGACTGTTTCTCTTTGGCTTGGAAAAACCCGTATGTACTTCGTCTAGCTTTCTCTGCTGGAATTGGTGGCCTTCTCTTTGGCTATGACACAGGTCAAAACTCAAATACTCAAATGCTCAAATGCTCTGCTCTGCTCTCTCTCTCTCTCTCTCTCTCTCTCTCTCTCTCTCTCTCTCTCATATGCCATTATGTTGTGTCTCAGTGACTCACTGTGAATTAACTGTGGGTAAATTGGTGAACATATGCAGGGGTGATATCAGGAGCTCTTCTTTACATCAGAGATGACTTCAAATCTGTGGATAGAAAGACTGTCTTGCAGGTGAGGTGAAAGTGAAACACACACAGCACATAATCCAAGCTTTCTTTCTTGTGTTGTGTTCCTTATCTTCTTCTTCTTCCCACTTCAATCATCTGTTGTTCTCCTTGTAATTTTCTTGTGCTGGTCGACAAAAATAATACACCTCAGCACAGATTGAATAAATTATTATGTTTAATCCATTTTAAATGTGTAAGTTTGTAACAGTCCAAAAGATGCTTCAGCCTGACACATGCTGGCTTGAGCTTCAATTTGACCAACAAACAAAAACCCAATTGGTTCCACCGCTACAATTAAGTACATAAAGCCAAAGATGGGCCCAACAAACCTTGGGCAATCCACAAAAATTTAAAAAAAGACTAATAAATTTCATCTGAAAATTAGCTACCTTGTTAACTGTTAATAAGATGTGTGAAAATTTAGCCAACTTGTTAAGTGCAAATGGGATTTGTTCATGTTTCTATGTCATTCTTTCAATGTAACCATGCCACTAAGTTGCAGAAACCAACTTTCAATTTAAAGTAGTAAAGATGTTCATTCAATATGCATGGTGTTGTCAAATAAATAGGAGAGTATAGTGAGCATGGCGGTGGCTGGAGCCATCATTGGTGCTGCAATAGGGGGATGGTTGAATGACAGGTTTGGAAGAAGAACTGCAATTCTTATAGCAGATTTCTTATTCTTCATTGGTGCTGTGGTCATGGCCTCTGCTCCTAACCCAGCCCTTCTCATTGTTGGTCGGGTTTTCGTTGGACTTGGTGTTGGCATGGCATCAATGACAGCTCCTCTGTACATCTCAGAAGCTTCTCCTGCGAAAATCCGAGGTGCCCTTGTTAGTACCAACGGGTTTCTCATTACTGGCGGCCAGTTCCTGTCTTACCTCATCAACTTGGCCTTCACCAAGGTAAGCAAGGGTGTTATTCTTCATGCTTAATTGGTTTATTCAGTGGCTTCTTAGCACTTAAACTTTAAATTGTGGATGTTTTTTGTTTAGGCCCCCGGGACATGGCGGTGGATGCTTGGTGTTGCAGGAATTCCAGCTTTGCTTCAGTTCATCCTAATGCTGCTTCTTCCAGAATCTCCTCGTTGGCTGTTCCGCAAGGTTCTATTTTTGCACTATAAGCCTAGTAATTTTAGTCTTTTGTGTTTCCCTGAAATAGTTACTTAAGAATACGTATATGTAGCAGAGTTTCCATTGATCTTAATCATTAAGTGTTAAGATTATGCATATATAAGCACTCCATATCAAGTATATCAAAAGGTTACACACATGTTCTTAAGACAATGAAGACTTGA